CTACACACACACACACACACACACACACACACACACACACACACACACACACACACACACACACACACACACACACACACACACAAACACACAAGCCGTCAACACGCGTGGGTGACGACTCTATACAGCCGCGTTCCTGACTCGAGTCGAACGAAACTAAACGCGTGGCAGCAGTAGCAGTAGCAGAAGCAGTAGCAGTAGTAGCAGTAGTAGCAGCAGCAGGTCAATGGCAACACATTGACCAACGCACACAAAAAATAGGTCACGCACATCTACACTTCATGGTGATCAAGTGTATGAAGTTTGATTGGAATCCCTTGAAAACTGTCGAAGTAGTTTGCGCCACAAACGTTTTGCAATGGCGGGAGGAAGTAGCGGCATGTTATGTTATGACAACCATCAACCTATTGTCAGTGTCCCTGTTCATCTCTTCAAGTCAAACTATTCTACAGTATTCTATATTTCGCCTTTCTTTTAACAAATTCCACCACACAAGAAGCACGCGTTCTCCGGTTTTTATCTACAAAACGTTCAATTACCCATTTAAAGCGTCTAAAACATTAGAAACGAATATGTAGCACAAACAAAGTAGGAGTAACCCTACTCTGTTTGGGCTACATATTTGTATCAACTAAGAAAGCTCGGGTAACAGTGCAGCCGTATCTGTTGAATTCCGAGTGCTTAAACCTTATGCCAAACACGCACGCGGTTTATTACCGAATCTTGGCCAGCGCGTAGTCATAATTATTTGCTCTGTCTCGTCTTTTCTGTGCCCACCTCACCCACTCCGCTAACATCACCGATTCTAATTAGCAATCACTAAGACACATGAAAGTTAATAATATCAGTGATGATATTATATACGCATGCATGCGTGCGTGCGTGCGCAAGTGTGTGTGTGTGGGAGCGTCTGTATAGGTATTTGTAAATTCTCATGATATCTTACTATAATTTGGCGAATGTTGTATGTATGTATGTTAATGAAAGGCTCCGTCCGTTTGGTTCCAAATAGCGCCAAATTTACAGAAGAGATCGATGAGTACACGGGACGGGTTCTAAACTATACTCGGTTGAAAACCGTTTGTTCGGTCTTAAAAAAGATAAAGAAACACAAAAAAAAGGTAAACATTTGCCTGAAAATAGGGGGCGCTGTTTTGTTTTCGTTCTGTTTGTATTTCGTTGTGTATCAACAGGTTT